AAATCTTATAACAAACCTCAGAAGGAGTTTAAGTAGACAGTATGGCAGACCAAGAACTAGATGGGAAGACGACATACGAAAGCACTGTAATGTCTTTGAATCTGCTCGTAAATGGCAAGAACTAGTTATGGATTCTCGTGAATGGAGGCGAATAGAACATGCATATATGGTCACATACTGATTAACGGAAGCCTCAGACAAAATCATCACGGTATTTATCATTAACATGTAGAACCGTTGAGTATGAATAAAAGATAAAGATAAATGGGTGGAGCAAACCCTACAGGAAACAGCACAACTTTTTTCTACTTTTCAGAGCTCGTCAGAATTTTTGTATAGATTTTTTGATGGAACCACCGAATTTTAGCAGGCTTGTCTTAGACACAAGTGCATCAAATACCGCTAAATTGTCGGATTTTGAAAACTACAAAGATGGATTATGATTTGGCAACAATTTTACAAACCAAACGAGCATTCACGCTTCGGTTTAGCAACTTTCGAAAATTTCGGGTAACCTTGGGAGTGCCTTGGAAGTTGAATTATGATGATTTTATCCCGGAAAACTTGATGAATCAGAAACAAAAAACAACCGCTAGAGAGAGGAGAAAAAGCTGCATCGAATGACATCCGAGTCGCTTGCCGATTATTGTTTTGTGAGGTTTGACTTGACTAAATATGGAATTTGATGGCATTGAGAAATTGATTATAGAAACTCTGAGAAGCAAGCTAAGGAAAAGAAAAAATTACTCTGTGTTCTATAGTGTTTGCTCTATCTATCTGCCGCTTGTGCTTTTTCGGAGATTAGGTACAAAAATTTAAAAAAATTGCCGAACTTGACCATGGCAAAAAGCATGAGTCGCAGATTTTGGTAATTTTTCGAGAGCTCATTGAACATTATGCAGTGAAATTAGAACCATTAGAAAGAGGATAAAATGCTGCATCGAATGCTTCTAAGGTCTCTCAAAAATGTTGATTCCACGAATAGTGGCGTTCATTCGAAAAAAGCGACATTATTTTCGGAACGACCTAATACAATATGCTGGAATAAACTTTGATAATTTTTAACAAGAACGATACATGGTAATATAGACACATAGGCATCTATGTATTAGATTGAGAAAAAGACATAAAAAGTCTAAGCACTTTTTTCTTGCAAAATTGAGAAAGTAGAGGTTACTAGCTTTGAGTGATGATGTGAGTGATATTATCCATGAGCAAATAAATTTTAGGTGCATCAAAAACTATAAAGTTCAAGAAATTTCTGATGATGCGATTGAGATTCCGTCCAATCAAGTTTCTTTTTTTACGGAAAACAACATAAGATGGTATGTTGTGTCACATTTTGACTTTGAACGAAAACCTTTCATTCCTTATTGTAACACTACATAAATGAACTGATAATCGGTTTTCTGTGGCCGTATTCATCATTCATACCTTGAGGTAAATTCTACCTACAGGTAGTTTTATCACTCATTATCAGCAAAATTACATTAAATTACATTACCTCAAAGTATTTTTGTAAGTACGGGTACTTGCTGATAATGAGTGATAAAACTACCTGGAGGTAGAATTTACCTCAAGGTATCAATGATGAATACGGCCACTAGATGCTTTCAAGGTATAACAGTAGTTTGATACAAGTCACAATACCTACATCAACATTAAAAGGACGAATTCTATCAAGAATAGCTCAAGCAAACGATAAGATGTGTAAAGTTTAAGATAGTCCGTCCGTCTTCATTAGAAACACTACTAGTTTTCTACTACTTTCATTAAGCTCGTCACTGAGAACAAATAGACGATTAATTTTAAACGCTTTTCAGACAGATGTAATACCGTGAACTCTATAGCTGTAATGAGTTAATAGACAGGATCGTCACCCATTTCTAACAATAAGATACATAGGTATCACTAGCAAAATTGTTTTCAACTACTTACTGAAAAAATAAATATACGTTATGTCAAATTACGTACGTAGTGAATTGTAGATTGAGATCAGAACCGAAACTTAAGAACGCCAAGTCACGCTAAGCGTGAGGTGATCACTTTGGCCAAGAATTCGTATGAATTACTGCATATGTTCCTATAAATGTCAAGCCCATGGTGGCTAGATATTAGTTGGAGATACTTGTGTACGAAATACTAATACAAAAATGATACCTATGTTATCTAATCATCCACGCAAATAGTACACATGTGAGCACCCTGCTTTTCAAATTTTAAAACTATAAAAAAATGAAAAAAATGTGATATAGTTTTTTGACAAACAAATGAAGCACTAGAATTTTATAAAAACATTTTTTTAGCACATGTTCAATCAACGTTGAGAAAAATGAAAAATTCCACGACAATGTTCAGGATATTAATGTCAGCGCTCAAAATTTATAAAATAAAAATAAATAAAATAAAATTAACAACAACAAATGTCCATGGAACTGAGATTTGAAAGAATAGTTGCGGTAATAGTACTTTACACAAGCCCTCTTTAAACACCCGTTCAGATCGTACATCAAATTTACACGATCGTAGTATTCTTTTTCTTTGAACTAATGCGGGTTTAATCTATTCGTATAGTCTGATCGGGGTAACTGACTTGCTCTAAGATATGCTACATCAGCAAAATTCTACCTGGCAGCAAACGACGATAACATGATGCAAAATGCTGGAATAGGGAAGCCAAAGAGGACAGGCAAAGACATAACTGATTTGAATGAAGTGAAAAAGAAGGGGTGTTTCAAAAATTGCACCAAAATTTTAGGAAGGAGAGCAGCCTTCCAACAAGAAAAAGAAAGATATAAATAAGCAGTTATGCTAATAGCATAGTTGCGCACAGTTTTTTGCTTCAATTTCGCGTAATCCGATAGGAAAAATGCAAATTTCGATGAGAGAAAGACCTCAAAAGTTAAAACCACTTTTGCCGGACCGGAAAAATGCAACGCAAATTGCATTTTGCAAATCTGCAAATGCCATAGATCGCTTTCGAGAAGGCGGTCAGCATTTGGGGTCATTTACAAATCCTGCAACAATAAGGCGATTTCCGTGCAAGGACCGCCTTGTTTAGTCAATTGGGGCCCTCCAGAACTGAGACGAAGCTTCCTCCTATTAACTGAACAACTCAAAACATCTTCCTTTTCCTCCTTACGATAACACGATGAATGGCAGCTATAAGCTGCTACACACACCGGCTGCTTAATGCCCACCCTCGCTTGCAATTGCTGCTCCGGCAAAAAGCCTCGAGGAATTTCGTATGCTAAATGTACTCAAGTGTGAAGTTATTGCAGCTGCTCTTTGACATTTGCGCATGTTTCGCAAATTCGACTTGTTCTTTGTTTTGTAAAAAGACGAAGTTGATCATGAGGGCAGCGCAGCTAGGTGAATGGAGATTCTGCTACTTTACTTGGTAATGAGGATAAAGGAGGTAGGTGGTACTAAAGTGATTTTTAAGAAATCAGCTACCTTTCAAAACTGACAAGAGTTCCATAATTATGCTCAGAATGTGCACATAGCAGTACATAATACTAATACTTTCACATTCTCCTTTCTGATACATTCTGCAACCACGCTTACTAGCACTGAAAGGCGCTACATAATTGCTCAAAGATTGAAGATTTTGAAATCAGATAATGGACTGAATAGAAAAGCAGTGAAGACTTACGCTTAACTTAGCTTTGAAGTAGCTTGGATGATTGTTGCTGCGCGATTCGGCGCGGCAGCGATGATGGTTAATCTTGCTGGGCTAAATTTGATGCGATTGCGACAATTCATAAAAGCTACCAAATGGCATTCGTGAACCGTGCACGATAATTTTGTAGACATTTAGCAAATCAACAATGAATGTTGACGGATTTATGGGAGGTATGTTTTAGCCTCACGCTCTGGCGGTTGGCGGCGGATCCGCATAGGCGAACTCCCGTGAAGGAGCGCGAATAGTCAAAGGTCTTAAAACATCTATAGCATAAGGCAACGAAACTGCACCGTGTTTTGGGTTGTGTTTAGTGTTATGTAGCTTGGTTGTACAGTATTCATGTTGTTGATTGATACATACGATGAAGTCATCATTAATCGGCGTTCTGTTCCGCTAATATCTTGTCGATTGGGCAAGGGAAGTCCGCTGCAGCGGCCGCAGAGGGGTTGGACCCGCGACGTGTAAGCGTTGAATGCTGGCAATGAGCAGAACTGCTACAAGTTGATACTACAATGAAAAAAAAACGAGTAGTAAATATTTATCTCTGGTATGTACATAACACCACGCATAAAAAGTGGAAAAGTAGAGTGAATTTAATGAAGGACTTGCTGTACTATACCCGATATGTCGGAACTGTTGATGTAATACAGGAAAAACATTCAAAATGGTAAAATTATTACTGTGAGCCTACACCGCTAATCACGGGATGGTCAAAGAACATCGCTATGAGAGTTACAAGAAAGGTGAAAACAAAGCAGACCAGTCCCTTTATACATGTATTTAACTTCCTATTGTGCGACTGGAAGGAAAAAACAGATGGAAAACGAAAAGGGGTGTAGTACTTTGTCACAGCACAAATGCTCCCATAACCGTGAGCTGCTTGTGATTGCATACTAAGCTTGTTGCCGTGCGATGTCAAAAGAAAAGTTTAACCCCTCTTTAACGGTTGTTTGAGAATTTGGCACAGCAATATTAACCTGGCCTTGAGTACGGTAGCATAAGGTATGTCTGCAAAAGCATCCACTAGAAAAGCTGAGAGGAAATGCTTATTACTGCATAGCGGTGATATAATGACCACAGAGATCAGCTAACAAATTAGAGCATGTACTATAAAATGTAGTAAACAAAAAACTTTTAAGATCTAATTAACGCGGTTGAAGGTGGTAAAATAACAACTAAACCAACCAAGTGACTCAAATCATACACCTCACTTATTATCATACATCTATATACAGGTAGGTTCATAAAAGGGAAAATGGTAGTTTACAAGAATTGCCTCTTTTGTAAGACTTAGCAATGATAGCGAGCGTTTTATGCGCGTTGTTTGGTGCGTATCACAACCTTGGATTTTATTACAGCACACTTATACGGTTAAGGCACTAGAACTGCCCTTACTTGGAGGAGGAGGTAAAAACGAAGGCCTATGAATCCGTCTCTTCTTGACTCAGCAGAACTGTACGCAAAGCTTGTTACCGAGTTGGTCAGCATCAAGCCATTCACGAAATGGACGTAGTTTTATCGTAGCTGGTGCATTGGAACGTCTACCAATGATGGCCAGACGGAATACTTGCAGATGTTCTGGTGAGAAGATCATGGTGGCCGGCACGCGATAGACGGCTAGTCGACGCATACGACGTAATTGCGGAACAGTACAACGGAATGTGATCTGCAAAATACGATGCTAATCCTCTATAAAACCTGCTGAGTTGATTTTTGGACACGTAAGAATATATGACATACATTTCGACATGATCAATAGATGTATCAATTTTCAAAGACTCTTGATAATTTTCGCTCTCTTTTATTTTTTCAAATTGTGCAAAAAAATCCTCCACTAAGCACTTCAAAGAGTCTTGTGTCAGCCGACAATTTTTGGAGACGAATTTGGCAATAAGCACAGCAAAAGTTTGTGAAGACGGAAAGGGGAAAAAGCCAAGAAGAGCCGAAATAGTTAGATTTATTTCAAGACTAATTCATATGATACTGTAGAAAACGTGCAATATCTCTTCTATAAAACATTTTCTTCTCAATACTTTCTGAATCTATATAGACAATCATGGAAAGTACCTCTCTTGCTTTCGGGAAGAGCGGCCCTAATGGAATGCGTTGCGTTGTTGGGTTCCACTGCGGTAAATCACCATCAGACTGACCAAGATATGTGGACATGTTGAATTTCGCTTCACTTTGGAGCCATCCTGGGGTCTGAAAATAGAGAGATGTAAACAGCAATACTTTTGAAGAAGATGGAAGTTTTTGACTAGCCTGAATCTCATCGGACTCCGATGTTGGATCGGTACCACCGGCTGCGGCCTGGAATGCGAACCATGCCGGTATGTCTGTCGTACATTGTCCTGCCACAAATAGCTCAGCTATCGATGAATCGATCTGCAAGGAGAGTCAATATCAATTGTGATCGCAAATGGAGAAGTTTAATTACCATGATGGTATGAGCGTTTTTGCCAAAGAACTGAACCGCACGCAGCAATTTTGCCGCTTCTTTTGCTGTCCACTGCGCATGAGCGGCGAGCAGAAGAGAACGATATTCGTGATGCCCTAATAAATTGCAAGTAGGGTGTCGGAAGAAGTCACCTGTAATAAAAAATGTACTAAAACCAAGCAGTGCTAAATACATTTTTTGATCAGTGCAAGCGAGATCAAATGCGTTTGACTTGGAAGGATTTAATTGTAGCGCGGTAGTTAGTCGGAAGTTCCGAGCATAGCAGAAAGAAATCTTCGGAACTTCCCGCCTTCCCATTTACGCATTAACTTAATCAAATCAAACAAGGATCTTTGCGGATTGTGGCTGAAAATGGTTTTTTCACTATATAAGTAAACCTTGGTTGCACTTGCGGGTTAAAATGCTTTTTGTTCACGTTTTGAATGTCGCTTAAAAAGCGCTACTTTCGTTTCACTTTGAAATTGCTTTGATCCCATTTCCAACTCCTCCAAACAAAGCTTCAATGCATCCAATACCCTGAATGAAGTCTAGACTTCTGACCCACTCATCCGCAAATGCTGCTTACTCCCTTGGCATCTTCGTAGTCTCAGCGGTTCCCCTTAAGTGTCAAAGTCCCGCACTTCAAAGTGGAGTGGTTATGGCCCGGCATATGATCTAACATGATTGAGCGCACGGGCACGCGATAGCCCTTTACGTCATTCGTGCAAATTCGTATCGACAGCCGATTACGAACTGGTAATAATTGTCATGAGATATAATTGATAGATAGATAAAAACACTATGAATAGGGTAATTGTTGAGCGTTAGAAACTAGTTTTACACGGATCTTTCAGTGATATTGCCATCGTAAGCTGTAAGCTTAACAAAAAATCTAGTAGAAATTTTACGGTGAGATTATGGTAGCAGTTTCAGAAATACATACAGAGTCTGGAAAAGTGATGGTGGTTCAAGCTGCCCACAAGCAATAAAAATTTCCAAAGAACTTTTTCCCTAAAGTCTTTCCAGCAATGTAGATTACCATATTATAATACGTTCGAGATAAGCGAAACTCATGAAATCATGTCATAGAAAGAGTCTCCCGGAAGTTCTGGTTAGTAATTCTGAACTTCCGACTTCTGCCAGTAGAAAATCTCCAAACTTCCGATTAAGTATTACTCGTCTAAATTATCAGTTTATACCGATAAAATTGTCCAAGCTGCAACATCTCGTTCAAATTCAAAGTTTCCTTGAACCCAAAATAGCATCTCTTCTTAGCAGCTACAGCAAATCCTCTAACAGACACACATTCGAAAACCTGTTTCCCTATGTCCAAGACAAACTTTTTCTCGCCTTCTTGATGAATAAAAAAAGTAACACGTAACCATGAAAGTAAACTACGCGACAGCAGTAAATGACAGGAAAAATTAGGAACGCAATCAACGACATTCCATCAATTCAGAGATAATAAATCAAATCAAAAAATGTGTGTTCAGCAACAGTGACAGTATGCCTTTGTGGATTAAAGACGACTATAGCCTATCAGTGAAAATTTCGCAGTGTGTGTGTTCCTCCCTCCCCCCCCCCCCCCAAGAAAAAGTCCCATTCTCGCCTCTTTAGACAATGAAGATTACATGCAAGGCGATGTGTGCTGCAGCGCAGCTAAGATTACTGCAGATTACGTACCGCTGTGCGATTACGGTATGCAAATAACTGGCAAAGCGAGTGGTAACGAAAAATAATCTCCCAGTATTGTGCCAAAAATATTTTCATCTCAATAGCCCGCGGTATTTGTAAATTTTTAGAACAGATTTAACATGCTAGCAAATTTGTTTCGGATTGAATACGTATTTTGAAATTGTAGAACTCTGCTTTCTCTCAGCCTTTCCGCATTCTCCCACATATGACAGAAAATTAACAAAGAAATCGATATTTGCAGGAAAGGTAGTTTTTGTTCCAGAAATTGTAATCTTGAGATAGTGAACACCACTCATACTACGCATTACAGTGTATTTTCTCAGTGGTGTAGATATCGTTAGAAGTGATGGAAAATAAAGGATCAAATGTACATGTCATATGTCGTGATAGTTGAGGGTTTTTGTTTGATTCAGCCATCTATTTGCTTATGTGCTTTTATTATTGAATTGATGTCTTTAGATTCTGATAGTAGCATAGAAATATCGAAGAACTAACAACAATTCACCTTGAGCTATCTTGAATTTCTTTCGCTGCTAATTCTCTGCGAAAAACACTCAACGATGCCCATATCACCTAATTTTTTCGCTATTAAATCTTCCCAAAACACATAGCGATGTCTTATGTGTATGATAAGGAAGTAAGCAAGCTTTTGTTAGCGTAATAAAAACAGCTTGCATGCCTTTGTCTTGGCTTTTGGCACTGCGTAAGACAACTCGCCCTTCCCCCCTCTTCTCTCTCTCTCTCTCTCCTCCTCCCCCCCCCCCCCCATCCCATTCCTCCCGCCTCGCAAAAAAGGGTACACGAAGCTAAAGAGGATTGAATGTTGAGGTAATCCGCTTAGGTAGCACGAATACTTAGACTTAGTATGATTTTTTGAGGCGATTTGGCGATTTTTAGTCGACGGGATGGCGGCAAAAGGATTATAAAATTTTCAAGGTTTTTTTTTTATGAAATCGCTATTTTTGAAGTGGAATTTGCTATGGCGCACACCCCAATAACAACTACTAGCGTCCGATCGCATGCCTAAACGAATTCAAATCGCTTATTTTGACTTCACAACATGGATAATTGCATTAACTTACTTGCTCCCTGCTCTCCACACTCAACTCAAATCTTGTAATATGTTCGTCATACTTACACTATATCGTCTCCCCCCCCCCCCCTCGTCTAGCTTCTGAGATTCACGATGCTACCAGTCTCATTGTACAATAAGCAGTGTCTCCAATGTACAAATATCATCAACATAAAGAAAATAGAGGGATAGATCTACATAGCGTATGCTGGTGAGACACCCTGTTAGATACCTTCACCTCTATACTTTGGTCCAATTCACTGCCCTTAGATTTTACAAGTAGCAATGGAATATCAAGAAAAAACTAGCGCCTTATCATGATTCTTTAACAATGAATTTTTTCTTGCATCAAAACTTCCCCGAAAAAGTATTAAGCACTGGTTTACACGCTTTGATAAACAGCTACGTAGGCCTTTGATAACGCAGTAAAAAACTATAATGCATTTCAACGATGCACAATTCTCCCCTCCTCTCCCTCGCAAAACATTGGCAGGCTAAGACAGCGGGGATCAAATGTGATTGAGGGAATTCACTCATGTAGCAAAAAGAAATAGAAATAGATATACTTGATAGATATGATTTTTGTCGATTTAGCGATTTTAGTCGAAGGTGGCGACAAAGCGGATTGAACTATTTTCGAGATTTATTTCAATAAAATCCCTATTTTTGGAGTGGAAGATACTATGGCAGGTGCTTCAAAACTACTACTATAGTCAGTCCATCACATGCTGCTAATTTTAAAATTCAAAATTTTGAAATAATTTCTAGACATCAATAATCTCGCTTATTTTAATCAAAATACCTGCTGAAAACAAGTAAAATTCAAACTTACCATCTCCCATGACTCCTTTCGGCAGTATTTGTGTGATATCCATTCTCAACACGTCTAGGTAAAGCGTCCTTTTTACACGACTATCGGTAATGCGTTTGAATTGTTTATTGACTCGTCGCCATTTTATTACATCAAACGGTGACGAGTAGTCAAAGATGAGGTTCCTAAAACGGAGATGGTTACAGTAGGTTAGTGACGAGGTATGTGCGCATTTAGACTAATTTCCAACAGATTTCACCGTAAGTTTTTTGCAAAAAAATACTGTTTCAAGAAGGCTATGTCAAAGCAGGTATGCAGATGCCTTCGTTTTCTCGGGAAAAAATGCTTCTATTATATAATACCAGTGAGCCAGTAATCAGAGGTGCTAGGTTTGCATCCGCGCGCTTCGGAACCGCGCCTCAGTTTCCCGCTATTTCATGATTTTTGAATTGGCGTCGTGATTCTTCATATATTAGATTCGAAGATAAGGTGAATTGATAGAATTGTGATTTTGGTGCTTTGAGAAACAATTGTTCCAAAAAGACTACTAAAGAGAAGAACCAGAAAAGGTTGCTAACGTGAACATACAGAAACTTATTTTTCTGTACTATCCAAAAATTCGAAGGTGAGGGTCGCGCAGAGAATAGTGTTACGGTAATTTATTTGGGGTGGGGGAACGAAAGCCGCCAGTTTGAGCCGACTTTCGCGGCCAACTGGTTTTTTCGCAGTGTTGTTGCATGTCGTTCCAGGACCAGCAATCCGCGGAGGCGGCCCAAACTCGCGGCTTTCGTTCCCCTACCCATTTATTTGCGAGCAGCAACGGTATACATAGACTCCAGGTTTTGGCCAAATAATCGATGTTGTAAAACAGCTGTGAATAAGGTAAGCACCAAAAACTGACCCCGAATCCATACAGTAAAAAATGTTTACTGTAGCAAAATAGTCCAATTTGATTTTGTCAAAGGGAGATGTGCTACATAGACTGATTATGCGGTGCAAGCACCTTTAGAGTGATTCACGCTACAACCCCACTCCAACTTTAGCGTTTTTGACCAAGTAACTGTTGTTTCAGGACGGGAATGTCACCTTCCATTATAACGCCGAATATCGCTGGTGATGTAAAACAAACGAGCTGAAATGATCAAGACTGTTTTTTGTCAACAAGGTTTTGAATTCACGGTATTTCCCATTTTATATTCTACATCTAGCACCTGGCAACATTTATTTATGCAAACATTCCAAAGACCGCACATCGCTGCTCATTCGAGCCCAAAATCTCTGCAAATAGCGCGCCCGAACTCAACATTTCCGATTAGTGCTTTCGGTAAACATCGCTATTTTTTGGGTACATCGGCTTCCCCAGATCTTGTCCAAAGATCGAACACTTCTTTTTACTCTTGAAAGCTATTTACTTCGAGCAAACGAAAACGGAGCATCTTTTCCGTCATCGAGTGTTTCACAATGTCAGCTGATGTACGAACTCCCCAGAGAGAAGTTAAGCTGCGAGCCCAAAATCTCTGCAAATAGCGCCCAAACTCCGCCCAAATTCAACATTCCAGAATATGCTTCCGGTAAACATCGCTGCTTTTGGGTACATCGGCTTCCTTAGCTCTTGTCCAAAGATCGAACATCTCTTCTCTTTACTCTTGAGAGCTATTTACTCCGAGCAAACGAAAACGGATCATCTTTTCCGCTATCGATGTTTCACGATGTCAGCTGATGTTCGCACTCCCTACTTAAGCAGCGAAGAGGGCTAGGAAAAAGGGAAATTGAAGATCAACTAACCAAACATTGTCAGGCAGCTCGACCGTGGGCTTTTTCTTTGTCTGCAGTTTTTTCTTCGATATAGACTGAATTTTCATGTCTTTTTCCACATTTAATTTAGCAAATAATCTTCTTAGCTTATTGCTTAGCATTATCTGAAAAGGAAACCTTTAAACATACTTTTACTGAAGAACCGAGAAAGAAACGCGTGAAATCTTACGATTCCTATGGATCGAAGAAAGAGAAGATGATGAGTGGGAAAGTCCAAGAGCGGTAAAATTCTTGAGATATGTGACAGATCAAGAATAACTTCATTCAACTAATGAAAAAACAAAACTAATGCGTGGGCGCGACACATCCATCAACATGTTTTCAAGTCCAGGAAATCACTTAGTTGCATTAGATAACAGATTGAAGAACTTAGAAATGAATCTACGAATGAGGAAAATAAAGCAGAACTGCAGAGGTGTGAGGAGAAAAGACGGAAGCTTCACAATGCAAAACACAGATGAGCCGAAGAAAAGAAAAATTCAAGCATTCCAGGGTAAAAAAAAAGCCAAAAAAGCACGAGTTACTGAAAGCGGAATGAAAAGGAAACAGATTGAGTGTACATAAAGCTGTAGCATGTACTAAGCGATAGGATGTAAAAAAAATCAGACCTAACAAGGGAATAAAAACATCATCAAATGAATACTGTTTAAGAGATCTTACTAATAAATTTAATAAATACAATATGTAAATGAGGAGTTGTGAGTGCGAATGGGTGCATGAACCAAAGATAAGGTTTGGTTCAAATAATTAAGCCCCGAAACCGAATAATGTAAAAAACAGGCAAAAACATTGAATTTCTTGCGTTCCTATTTACTTTTGACATCTTTGTCAAATTGCCTTTTATCAAGCAAAGAACGAATAATCAAGACGATTATTTGCTCTAAATAACATGATGGATGAGAATGGTTGAAATGATGAAAAAATTATGAATGCCAATTCAATGAGAATGAGTAGATTTATGGACAAAGCTATGTGACAAATGATCAAATAATTTGATAACAGAAAAAAGACAGTGATTCGTACTGTCCGAACAACCGTATCAAATTCGGCCAACACCGAAATGTTGACATTTCCCACGAACCAGGACAACGCCGTGCAAGCCACTCCCCTTCCACTTCACATCCCCCCTCCTCCTCCCCCTCTCCGCGATAAATGGCGCAAAACCTTCGGCACTTATGTGGAATGCTATGGATGCCAATGCTTGGTTATCAGCAGGAGTGTTGGAAAATCATTCGCAAAGGTAAGTTTTGTGTGTGCATGCGATAACGACCCGGAGATCTGGAAAGCTTATTTGCAAAGGATGAATCATTTCTTTCGACGGAAATTCTGCAGGGAACTCTATCTGCCTTGCCACGAGGGGAGAGGGGGGGGGATAGGAGGAGGAAAAGAAATCGGGCTCGAAAACAATGGAACAAATTCTGAATTGGGTAAAAATTTCGAATCTAATAGTTGTTTACTACTAGATAGTCAATGAACGTAATTAGTTGTAATTCTACTCAATTCTAATAAAAATGTCCCACATAGCAAATGTGTTATTAAGAAAAAAAAATTCATTAAAAAGTGAACCCACAATCCCTCTGTGTCAAGAAATCAGAATAATACATCTTTCATCTAGCTGCTACTGTTTGACAGGTGGCAATCATCGAAGGAAAAAATAAATCGCTTCCAGATGCTATCAATTGCTAATGTCACATAATGCTATTAGAAGTGCCTAAGAGAAAATTAACAGAGGGAATACTAAGATCGCTAGCGCGCGGGAACAATACGTATTGTCACACTTTTGTATGAGAACGGGGAGAATATGTAGAGACGGATTAGTACGAGCACACACAATGCGATCTGTGCGCTCCTCCCCCCCCCCCGCTACCTAGAAATTATTCTGAAAAATCACGGATTTTTGAAGTGTCAACAATTTATGCGCTCACTCGTCGAGCACGATGGCGCCAAGCGGAGGACCCGACGACGTAAAAACGCAGAAAGATCGTTGAAGTCGGAATGCGGGCGCTGAACATATATATAGTCCAACATGCACGAAATAAAGGGGGGGAGGAAGGCAAATTTGCCAATGAATAGCTTATGGTATGCTTTTTTCGAAGTTCATGGGCTGGGAGATAGTGATAAGGCGTGCCGAGGTAGTGTCTTTGCGGCGACCACAATGATTTGCGTAAAAAGTATCCACAGAGCGTAAAATTTGAGATCTTGTGGTCCTGACCAGAAAATTACTATCAGTTAGGTTATGTGCTTTTAAAATGAGTTTAGTGAATTAATAGCAAGTGGATTCGAAGCAAGTAAGAATAGCAAAAGCAAGTAGAATTGATAGAAGTACTGCGCTTGCCTTCTTGACACAACTGCGCCTAAGAAAGGCCCCTAGGCGCGTAACTTCAAGTTTTGCGCTCTACAGCCATATCCTAAGCGCTAAACTGATTGAACTGCAAGGAGACACTTACGGTAAAAATGCCCGAGGGATAGAAATCTAATAATAAATGACAAGTTAAATAAAAAAATCTTCAAGATTTTCTTTTCTTCTCACCCTCTCTCATTTTTCGTAAACTATTACCGAGTAAGACTGCGAACGTTACAATATGAGTAAGTATTAACAATGAGGATAGTTTCCGCAAACGAGCAAAAGACAAAAAAGAGGGCGTGCGGCCGTGGGCGGAAACGGAACAAATAATTCACAGTTCCAATTGCCAGAGGGCCCCTTCACTTGATTCTTTTGCGTCAGCCACAAAACGTTCAGTATCGTACATAGTGTAACAATCCAGAATAATCCCAAGGTGTCATCATTTAAACACAAATCCAGAACTTTTTACCCCCTCCTCATGAGCTCAAAAGTATCACACATGACGTCACATAGGGCATCGTAATCTGAGGATGTCGCAGTAAAATCCGAATTTTCGCTCAAAGTCACATAGATTTTATGACAATTGGTTCAGTGGTGACGCCTTTGACTCCAGTTCATGGGCATTTTGTTGTACGGGGGTGGGGAGGGGCAACAGCAAGGGATGCTTGGGAATACAAAATAACTAAACTCCAGAGTTGAAAAGTTTGCGAAAAGTAGGAACGTTACTGGGTGACGAAGGCCTAGCTTTGCGAGGCTTTGGTTTAGGAGGAGACAAGGATGGTAGATTCTTCAAGATTTGGTTCTAAAATACCGACCCATATATATCTCAAGCATATAATGGGTTTGCCTGGATTTATGGCTGCAATTATGATTCCATGATTATAAATATTATAGTTCTTCCCACGGAAATTGTCATTACTCCTATGCCTAGAAATCCGAGACCTGTCCCTTAGAAGCCAGCCATCATTTTTTCCTAAAATAGCACTCGGAGGCTGCCGAAAGCAAAAGTAAATCAAAATGAAGGACCTGGAATTTCAAGAGCACAGTAGGCAATAAAAATTTTACGAAATTTCTGGCGGACAAAAAGAAAACCACAGCACGGGTAAAGATAAAATCATTTTGCTTAGATTTCCCGCTATCCTGTGTTCACGCAAGCATTACCTTCAAAGTCAATATCAAATTTTTTTCAAATTTTTAAAAGGTGGATGGGAGATCAAGGGGTGTGATATAGACTTTGCTGAAGGGCATAATGACTCTCGTAACCTTTACAAAATGGAGGTAGCTAAAATCCACAGCCAATTTAGGCTGCTGTACTATATATGCTCGGTTAAAAAAAAACATTTTTCGTGGGTGTGTGAGTTCCGAAAACAAAATCATAGAATCCCAAAAAATTGGTCAATTTCGAAAAAGAAGGCTACTCTCTTGCGTATTTAGTTTTCCTACCTTATCTCCACATATGTCATTGTGCAAGGAATTTTTTCAGACTTTAGATTATGATTACGCTTTTGTAGTGTTATCAATTCACAGCATATTTAGCTTCCCTAGCTTGAATTTGCAGAAGAATTTTTTTTAAGATCTGTTTGTTAAGTTAGTACATTACAGCATTCCACGTAAGAAAAATTCTTTGCATAACTCCTTTTTCTTTCAGAATAGAAAAAAACCTATGCTGATTTTAGTTTTCCCATGTGGCTCAAAATAGATGGGAAAACTTTGAAGTATCAAAAACGAGTTTTTTCAGCATACGAGATATTACACGGCCAGCATAATTGCTGGCTGTACTAGTCAGAGGTCAGATTGCCGAAAAGAAATTAGCGAAAGAAAGCAAAGAATCCTCGAGTAGCCTAGAAAGGAGCAATAAATATTTTCAACGCGGTTTGTGGGCTTGATTATGCAAGATCGAGAAGCTCAATGTTGTAAATCAAGGACAGGATATGAAATTGGACTCCGAAGAACCACTAATCCCGGATTACAGTATAATAACTACTATATAAGATTGAAAATGACTTCGAAAACCATGCGAACACCTGAGCATGTGAGCGAACTTCAAAATTTTTTAGCCTAAAATACTTCCCAAACTCATTCCGGATGTAAACAAAATTTTATGAACGCAAATAGAACGGCGAAGAAAGCTCTGGCACTCTCACTTTATTTTACAACTTTTACTTTTGAATCCTGCTTCTGTTGCTGTAAAGCCCAAAGTTCTCAGAGATTAGAAGTAGATATATACCAAAAAATATCCGGAACAATTTCGTTGCTCAATTTTGTATTCTTCTTTTCTTGTGAATTTAATTCACTTCCAACATAATCCAAACGATGCGCTCATTTTCGCTGACTTTGGCTTCCAGATTTTCAGAAGAAGAAGATTTTTCAAAACATCACAAACCGATCTAGAAAAATTGAGCATTCAAAGTAAAAAAATTCGCATAGTTTTTTTTCTGAAAATCCCACTTACGAGACAGTCTCTCATCCACAAATATTCGAATTATCAAAATCAAGTTTCGCAGATGAAGAAGCGTAGTGTATTCTGACCAGTCAATGTATTCAAAACGGTATGCAGATTTCGACTTTTTGCAAAACAATCGGTGCCTTGGGTGGATCAACGTTATTTCGCGAACGGAACAAAAATCGGGGGAAGTGGAGGGGTGGGGGGGATACCTCGCACAATAGGCAAGGGGTAGGGAATGAGAAGAGAAAGCGAACTGTTCAAAATGGGCATGTGGGAGGAGACGAAAATGTGTACAGGAGATATGATGGGATTGTCCCATTAATGGCATT